AAAAAAAAAAAAAAAATCACCAAGATTGGAAGAAGCACAGGGACAAACAGCCAAACTAGTGGAAACACATGAACTATGAACCAATAGCTGAGGAGCCCCTGGACGGGAGGAAGGAGCGGAAAGGAGAGGGGACAGAGAGCCCACAGTGGGCCCACCTGCTTTTTAGGCTGGGAAGCCAGCGAAGGCTGATGACGTAATTAAAGACCAAATCCTTACAACCCCCAACTGGATCAGGCCCTCTGGATAAGTGAGACAGTTGATTAGCTTGAACCATTTGGGAGGCACCCAGGCAGAGGGACCAGGACCTGTCCTCAGTGCATAAGCTGGCTGTTTGGAACCTGGGGCCTATGCAGGGACACTTTGCTCAGCCTGGGAGGAGGGGACTGGACCTGCCTGGAGCTGAATCCCCAGGGGAGTCCTTACCCTGAAGGAGATGGGAGTGGGGGGTGGGGGGGGGAGTAAGAGGAGGGAGGACAGGGGAATCCATGGCTGATATGTAAAATCAAATCAAATTATGAAATAAAAAAAAAAAATTACTTTCTGGCTACACAGAGAAACCCTGTCTCAACCACCACCCCCCTTCCCCAAAATTTACTTTCTGGTCTGGAGAGATGGGTCAGCAGTTAAGAGCATAGACTGCTTTTCCTGGTTTTATTCCCAGCACCCACATGGTGGCTCACAAGCATCTGTAACTCCAGTTCCAAGGGATTTGATGCCCATTTCTGGCCTCTGTGGGCACCAGGCACACATATGGTACACTTACATATAAACAGACAAAACAGTCACATCCAGAAAATTTAAAGTTATGAAAATTACTTTCTTAGGAAACATGAAATACATGGATTTTATAAATATCAGATTTATATAAATTAAGAAGCTGCAGAGTTAATATATGATGTCTGTCTTTGACAACATTTAAAAGAATGAAACAATGCTAAAAGACAAGTCATTATCTCTTGGTTTTTTGGCTGCCATCAAGTGTGCTAAGAATAGAAGATGTGGAGAAGACATGACCAAGAGAGAAAATACATGATTAAATAAAAGAACAGTTATGCCTTTAATCCCAGCACTTGGGAGGCAGAGGCATGTGGATCTCTGTGAGTTTGAGGCCAGCCTGGGCTACACAGTGAGTTTCAGGACAGACTCCAAAGCTACACAGAGAAATCCTGTCTGGAAAAGCAAAACAACAATAAGCCAATTATGTAATCAATCAAAATCAAAGTTCAAGGCCAGCCTGATCTACACAGGATCTATACTGAGACTCGGTCTCAAAAACAAAGAAAAAAAGACAAGTTTGTATCTGCTATAAACTGCTGAAAAAAGTTGGGGCTTTGTGATTACTGGTGCCATAACCAATAACTGACAAAGTAGCTTTTAATGATTTACCTGCTGCCGTCTGTAGGGTTTCTATACTACTTTCTGGAGAAACCAAGGATTCTGAGTGTGGAGAGTTTGAGGCTTCCACAGACCACTCCTGAGACGCAACAGCCATGGGAGCAAATGAGTCACCGGGAAGCATACCTAATAATGAAACACAGTTTTTAAATGTGGTCATCAATGGAGGGGGAAAGTATTTGACAGGTTAAATCAGTGACCACACAAACCCAAGGACCAATAAGAGTAGAGGTTTTACAGGAAGGTCTGGCATTCTTCAGTTTTGTGTTAATTGTTGGTTTTTAAAGATTTACTTAATTGGTGCTGCAATTACGACCCTCCCCACGTGGTTTCTATATCAAACTGGTCCTTCACAAAAACAGCAAGTGCTCTTAATACCTAAGACACTTCATATCAGGTTTGAGATAAACTGTTACCAGGCAAAGAGTAACACTATATCCTAGTAGCACCAGGGACACATATTTATTACTTCCTACTGATGTCACAGAGATTTAAAATACTGAAGACTGAAGACTACCAATATCAACTTCAATGGAATATAGTAGATAGCAAATTATTGTGAGCCTTCATTCACGTATAAAGCAATATTAGAGCCGGGAAGTGGTTTGTGCACGCCTTTAATCCCAGCACTTGGGAGGCAGAAGCAGGTGATATCTCTAAGTTCAAGGCCAGCCCTGGTCTACAGAACAAGTTTCAGAACAGCCAGGGCTACCCAGAGAAACCCTGTCTTGAAAAACCAAAAAAACAAACAAACATAAAACAAGACTAGAATCTGCCTTTATGAAATGCTTAATAAATTATTAGCAAGTTGACAAATACAAGAATTATGCTCTTTTATGTCAGACATAATATGAGATTTACTATCAGATGGTTCCAGCTATTACCAGCTATTAAATTCTTTCTTTCTTCCTTTCTTTCTATTTTTTTAGGAAACAGAACCTCACTGTTAGCCTTAAACTCCTGAGCTCAGGTGATGCTCCTGTAAAGGGTTTCTCTGTGTGGCTTTGCGCCTTTTCCTGGAACTCGCTTTGTAGCCCATGGTGGCCTCGAACTCACAGAGATCCGCCTGGCTCTGCCTCCCGAGTGCTGGGATTAAAGGCGTGCGCCAACACCACTGGGCAAGAATGTCTTTTATAAAAGACAACTATTCAGGAATTCAGGATGATCGGTACAGTGGGCTATTTGGATTGGGCTAGAAAAGAGCAGCAAGACTGATTAGAAGACTAATAGGGTGATCTAGATGTGAAGGGATTTAAATGGAAAGAAACCAAAGAGGACACAAAAGAACCTAAGGCATACTCTTCTAAGACAAGAGCATGGGGGCCACACAGCCGGACTCTGAGCTGCCAGCAAAGGTGCAGTATCATGAGTGTGAGCCCACTCCAGACAACACAGTAAGACTTTGTCTAAAAATAAATGGAGAATCATAGACTTCAAAGGAGGAGAACAGAAAAGAAAGTGGTCAGAAGACACTCAGAGCAAGTAAAACATAAAAATGCCAACAGACAAGATGAGGGTACTACTGCTTGTTTACAATGTACCCGACACCATGCTATATTTTTAACATCTCTAAACAAGGAACAGATGCTGGCTCCATTGCATATATTTAAAAGATCAGTGGGGAGGTCTGTGGCTCAGCTGGATTACTTGCCCAGCAAGCATCAGGAGCTGCTGTGATCCAATGCTTTATAGCCAGGTCCCAGTGGGTTCCATATATCATCTCAGTACTTGGTAATGGAGGCAGGGAGAGTAGAAGAGGTAATTCTTTGCTACGTAACAAATTTGAGGACAACCTAGGATACATGAGATACTATCTCAAATAATAAATATTAAAAAACTGAAATTTATGAAGTAATTTTTTCTAGACCATGAAAGGCAAAATGTGCACAAAGAATCTGACCATACATTATAGGATTCAAGGTCTTATAAAAAGCCCAATTGTGAATTCTCTAATTTGCCACTCACTGGGAGACCCTAAAAATCCTTACCCTTTCAGTTTCAGTCCAAGGTGCTATGTAATATGGTGTTTTAAAGTGTGTATATGTGTGTGTGTGTGTGTGTGTGTGTGTGTGTGTGTGTGTGTGTGTGTGATTACTGGAGCCATAAAACACACACACACACACACACACACAGATTTTTCATAATTTCACATTAGTCCAGGTGTGGAGAAGAGAGAATCAGGAATTTAATGATGCCCTTTACATAGATAAAGCCAGGCTAAGCTGATTTCTTATGTAGAACGTCCCTCAAAATTTTTATTTTATTTTTCACTTTATCATTTGTCATTTATTGTATGGATCTTTGTACAATGAATAAAGGATAGATACTGGATCTGGCTGAAGCCATACCATAACTGTCTTGCAGAGGGTCACTTTGCTCCATAAATGCTGAAGCTTTTGTGGGTCCACTGGTGACAAAGAGCAGATCTGCCAGGCCATCATCAGGGTGCATCTTAAATGGATCTAGAATAACAACAGAATCATATAGTGAATGCAATTAGAAAGATTATTATCTCTTAGTTCCTATTAACATTGATTTGTTACATTTGTATTACCAATAGTAAATTAAATAAAATAACATGACTACATGACAAAGAAGCAATAAATATTCCCTGATTCATTTGGTATAACAAAATATAATCCATTGTTCTCTTAAAATTTGATTACCTAGGAGAGCCAGCAAACATAAAACCTCATGAACGAACACTCAATACTCCATGCCATAAAAACATGAATGCCTGAGTTAGATCCTCAGCACCCACAAAAATAAAGACTGGTATGGTTGTACATGCTTATAATTTCAGTGCTGGAGACACAAACACACATACACAAACACATAAAAATTAAAAACCAAATAATAAAATGTTGTAGGATATTATTTTAAGGTGTGTTACTTTTGTTTATGTTGCATTTGTTTAACTCTGTGAAGCTGTGTTACTGTGCCTGTCTAACACTCCTGATGGTCTAGAACTGAATGGTCAATAACAAGACAGGAAAAAGGACAGGTGAGGCTGGCAGGCAGAAAATATAGAGGAGGAGAAATCTGGGAGGAGAGGGCTCGGAGACAGAGAAGGAGAAGGACTCCTGGGCCAGTCACCCAGCTACACAGCAAGCCACAGAGTAAGAGTACAATTTACAGAAGTAAGAGAACGGGAGAAGCCCAGAGGCAAGAGGTAGATGGGATAGGAAAGCTGGCTAGAAACTAAGCCAAGCTAAGGCCGGGTATTCATAATTAAAAATAAGCCTCCCTATATGATTTTGTTTAAGAGCTGGGTGGCAGGCACCCTGAAAGAGTGAAAACAAGCAACAACAATAGAATGTATAGTGGGCATGAAGATACATGCCTGTAATCACAACACTCCCAAGTTCAAAGCCAAAATCAGAAACAAAATGAGATCCTGTCTTCAAAAAACCAAACCAAACTAACTCAGCTAGAAAGGTTATTCATAGAACAAAAACAGGTAACTCTTGTGGGCTTTGTGCAGAATAATGCATTTCAAATGCTTGTTGAGATCAGTATGGTGGTGAATGTAGGCTTTAACCCAAGTTCTAGGCCAGCCAGCCCTTACATATCGAGATCAAATCTTGGTTCGGGCTGCAGTAGCACACCTTTAATTCCAACACTTGGGAGGCAGAGACAGGCAGATCTCTTTGAGTTCGAGGCCAGCCTGGTCTACAGAGCAAGATCCAGGACAGGCATCAAAACTCCATGAAGAAACCCTGCCTGGGGGGAAAAAAAAAATCAAATCTTGGGACTAGAAGAAAACTTTTGAGAGTCAGTTCTCTGGCATAAAAAAAGCTCTGCTATTACTGAAATAATTTCTGTGAAAAGAATTAGGGTGCTAATGGATTCCTGAACCTTTAGCTTTTAATGTACATGAATGTGAGACAATTTATTAGTAACTGGTTTTGAAAAGATTATTTAAAAAAAAAAAAAAAAACTACAGGGAATTAAATGCTTCTGAAGAAAGGATAAATAAAGCTGGCTGTGGCTGACCTACCCGTGTAATCCTAGCATTTTGAAAGGCTGACATGACAGATGGGAGATTTGTTACTGTGGACTACATTATGAGACCCTATTTCAAACACAGAAAGAAAAAGGAGGATAAAGATAAAAGTCCAAGCGAATGTCTACAGAAAATAATTATACTTTGGCCATGCCTTACTGAGCTATTTTGAAGCCCAAATGCTTTATCTTAGTGGGAGCTACAGCCTTGTCACCTATTACCTCACAGCTCACATTTAGCAATCACACACACACACACACAGCCTGCACTTACCAGTCTGGTTAGTACCTAACACTCCCTGAGGCTGGAAACAAAAGCTTGCATCTTCTGGCCAGTTCTGGCTGTTCTGATATTCCTGGTAGGCAATTTTCTCTTCAAGGAAGTCAGTGGGAGACCCTTAAGATACAAACACAAAATAAGTTACAAGATACTACTATTTCCAATCTATTAGAATTTACAAGTTACAGATAGAACAATATATCACAGTCACATCTAATAAACATCTTTC